ATGTCAAGAGATAGCTTTGTAGAAAACTGACAGCAATCCAGTTACTAAATTTTATACTTTTTACAGGAAAAGGAATAAACACATTTACATTTAAGTTGATGGTTAACTTAAGAAGAAATGTAAAGCAATGGTAATTTTCAAATAAATTTTTACTAAATTCCTAATTCCAGTTTTTTGCCATCCTGATCATATACAAAATAATTTGGAAAATCTTGCACTATGGAACATTTTTAAGCAGTACAATATAAACAAAATTAATGTTTACATTAAATTTATTGTTTTATGCTGAAACCTGAGATTTGGCTCTGGAATACAATTGCCTTTAATAGTGGATAGACAGTGGAACTGTTCCTTTAGACTTCTATTTTAGGTTTAAGTTTGTGTTTGAATCTGAACAGAAACTCCAGTCACTTTTGAATGGACATAGAAAACCTTTCACTGGTGCAGTAATAATCTGAAACCCTGTGTGCTTTCAAAGGAGAAGTACATAAATATTCTTTTGGAAAATAAATATACAGTATCATGTGTTTCAAATGGATCTTGTTTGAAAATAGAATATTGAATTTTTTTTTCATTTAAGTTATGACTTAGGAATTGAGAACCGTGATGCTACTAATGACCAAGTGACCATCGATGCTGCTGAAGCTATTAAAAAATATAATGTAGGAATAAAATGTGCCACCATTACTCCTGATGAGAGTAGGGTGAAGGAATTCAAGTTAAAGAAAATGTGGAAATCACCCAACGGGACCATCCGTAACATACTTGGTGGCACAGTGTTTCGAGAAGCGATCATCTGTAGGAATATTCCTAGGCTGGTATCCGGCTGGATCAAGCCAATCATCATTGGACGTCATGCATATGGTGACCAAGTAAGCTGAAATATTAATTTTATTACAGTGTTGTAAAATTTATCTCTGAAAGATCTTTGTCTCACTGTTATTTTGATAATCTTTGAAAAAGGAAAAATATTCCAAGTCCTTGTGACCTTAACTGAACATAGATTGTGTTCATTCATTTACTGATTTCAGCATTGTTGTTTTGAAGAATGCACAACATTTCCACCAGAATTTCTATCAAAATTGCTTTGTAACCAGCAAAATCAAATTTTTGTTCTTTCTTATTTTCTTCTTCTGGGCTATCTACATTGGAACTACTTCAAAGAGCTGTTCACTCCTCTAGTGGCCAGAAAGATGTTTGTTCCTTAATTCTGGTGTCACCCATATTAATCTGTCATTTTACTTTGTTAGGTGGATGGCCTAGATTATGGGCACATACATATACCTTCATAGATTAATGGAAAAGACAATGTTTTGGACTGGCATTTTTGTAAATCTAGAGCTTTCTGCTCCTATGATGCTGCTTGGCCTGCTGTGTTCATCCAGCCCTGCACCTTGTCTCGGATTCTCCAGCATCTGCAGTTCCTACTATCTCTGATTCAATTTATTGCCCATCTCATTCTGCCCTTGAGAAATTGGTGAGCTGCTTTCTCGAACTGCTGCAGAACATGAGATGTAGGTACATGTACCAAGCTATTGAGTAAGGGGTTCCAGGATTCTGACCTAGGGATATTTTTCCAAGTCAGAACAGCATGTGCCTTGATTGAGAAATTGTGCTGATTACAGCCGTGATGAACTCCCAGCAGTCTTTGTCCACATTGTTATGAATGACCATGGACAGACACAGGGATGTGGTCATTCAGTCAAAACTAAGGGAACTCAAATACGAATCTCCAGACTATGTTTACTGCCATGTGCAAATGAGCAATGGAGCAGGAGGATAAAGCTGATGAATATGTGGCTGGAAAGCTTGGGCAAACTATGCCAGAGCTCACTGGATGACAAATGACATAGGCAATGGTGGACAGGTGGCAGATGGAGTTCAATGTGGAGAAATGTTAAGTTTTTAAAGATTTTGGCAGAAAGAACATGGAGTGACAATAAAAACTGAAAGGTACAATTCTAAAAGGGAGATGGTACAGACACGGGACATGGGTGTGTATGTAGTAAGTCATAAAAAGTGGCAGGGCAGGTTTAGTGTGCAACTAATACAGCCTACAGAATCCTAGGCTTCACTAATGGGGAAGTAGAGTACAAGAGCAGGAGGTTGTGTGAAACTTAAATCAGACACAGCTTTGTCTCAGCTGAAGCCTGGATATTGCACTTCAGGAAAAATGGAAAAGGCATTGAAGAGGTTACAGAAAAGAGGCACTGGAATGAGAAACTTCAGTTATTAAGATAGATCAGAGAAGTTAGGACCCTCTCCTTTGAAGAAGAGGGGGTCTATAGAGGTATTCAAATCATGAGTAGTTTTGACAAAGTAGATATGGAATAAATGAAAATTCTTCTATTAAATTGACTGGTTATCTGGCTTGATAACATCATGGTTACTGGATCCTGGAGATCCCCTTTAGCTGTCTCTAGATTGACATTAACATTGGAAAAGGTGAAATAAGGGTTACGGAGTCACTAGGCTTTAGTGAGGACCTTGCACTGAAGTTAATGGCGTCCTCTGTCACTTTGCTCCTAACTGGAGAATCCTGGAATAAAGAAGTCTGAAATTAAAACCAGTATTTTAAAGGAATAACCCTAAAAATGTAAGCCTGATGCATATTAAGTTAGTCAATAATTAATCTCTTGTATTTGGTTTTAGTATGTTCAGGGCTTAGTGAGCTGTATTTTAAAACTTACACCTCTGAATGCTAGGAGACAATCACACTTTGGACACTGTATCAAAACCTATGCCTTTTATTTAATGGCCACTGCCATCTTGTGGTTATGGGTTTGTACTGCAGCAAATTTGTAGATGAGGCTCTATCTTATTGCTAAGAATTATTTAAACTTGTAATTTCTTGTTCAGGGAATTAATTGTCCCTGTCTCCCCTACTTTCTACAGTAGAGTAGATGAAGTCACTGTAAAATCTTCAACATTTGATTCATCCATGCAGTAACTTCCAAGTTTTTTTTATAACTTTAACGTTACACTGTGTGTGAGTAGTTCTTGTTTTGTGAACACAAAGTCACGTTCATGTTTTTTTTCTTTGTGTGCTAGTAGGTCCTTGCCAATATAGTATGGTACATATGTTCCAACAAAATTAAAAGCAAGCATTAGCCTGTGTAGTTTGAATGTCCAGTTCACGGGACACCAGATTCAAAGTACCAGATAATGTTCATGGAAGCTGTTTCTTTTGCTGACCATTTTGGTTGGAACTACAATCAGAAATTTTTCAAACCCATCACCTGTGGCAAAAGTTATTTTCTTTGTGTTCACAGGATGTGAGCAGCCCATTTTTTGCTCGTTCCTAATTGCCCTTCAGAAGGCAGTGAGGGGCTGCTGCCTTAAACTGGTTTAGACCACAGGGAACTGGTACACCACAGTACTGTTGGGGAGAAAGTTCCAAGATATTGACCCAGCCACAATGACAGAATGGTGATACAAAGAACATGGAGTGAAAGCATAAACTTAAAAAAAAAACTATTCTAAATGGTGTGCAAAAACAGACAGACCTGGGTATGTATGCACGTAAATCATTAATAGTGACAGGATAGGTAGAGAGAGCTATTAATAAAGCATACAGCACTCCATACTTCATAAACAAATAGAATACAAGAGCAGAGAAGTCACAATGAACTTGTCTAAGACACTGGTTAAACCTTAACTGCAGTAATGTGTACTATTCTGGACACTACGCTACGGAAATAATGGGAATGCTTTGGCAAGAGTGCAAAAGCAGTTTATTGAATGGGGTTCCAGGATGAGACACTTTGATCATGAAAAATCAGAGAAGTTGGGATTTTGTTTTTGCTTGGAGAGAAAGTTCAGAGGGGATTTTGTCAAAACTTTCATAAATATGAAGGGTCTGGACAGAGTGGATAGGGAGAAAATATTCCCACTTAAATGGATTGAGAAACAGAAGGCACAGTTTTAAAGTGATTTGCAAAAGATGTAGGTGTGAGGTGAGAAAATATGAATTCCCACAAAGAGTAGCTGAGGAATGCTCTGCTTGGAAGTGTGGTAGACGCAGGTTCAAATGAAGCATTCAAGAAGCCATTGGGTGATTGTTTCTATCTAAACAATGTGCAGGGTTATGAGGAAAAGACAGGAGATTGGCACTTGCAACAGAAGTGGGCCAAATGGCTTCCTCTGCATTGTGGCAATTCTGTTAGAAGTTAGAATAGTGTGTACCGTGAAGGAGAACTTGAGGGGGTGATGCTCTCATTCACCAGTGTAGTGCTGTTTTACTCTTGAATTGTTGTCGGTGGTGCTGTTTTATGGTGGCAACCAGGTGGTGCCTTTGTGCTTCTGAATGGTCTTGTCGTGCAGGGGTGGTGTTCTTACTCTTGAACCAGGAGGCTG